AGGACTTGGAGTAGTCGACAACATTGCCAAGCCGCTGAAAATTTATTGTGACAATTCCGCAGCAGTCTTCTTTTCTAAGAACGACAAGTATTCCAAAGGTGCTAAGCATATGGAATTGAAATACTTTGCCGTTAAAGAAGAAGTTCAGAAACAAAGAGTGTCAATAGAACATATTAGCACTGATCTTATGATTGTTGATCCTTTAACAAAGGGATTACCGCCCAAGTTGTTTGCTGGCCATATTTAACGTATAAGTTTCTGAAATTTGTGTTTTCTTCTTTATTTATATGCATGCAAATTATGATGAAGAAAACAAATTATGTTATTATTTTTAAAATGATATTATGTTTGAACCCATTATGGACTTCTCATTATAAAGTCATATTAAGGAGAAAGAGATAATATAGTGGTACATGGAAGGGAGCCTGTCGATTGAATGACATGTAACCGCCATGACTCTTGTTATAGCTGTATCTTTAATTATGAATAAGGATAGAACCAATTTATTTAAGATCCTTTAATGCGCATTATGACTTAAGTATTAAATCACAGAATCGTATGACATCACATGAGTCAAGTGGGAGAATGTTAGAATTAATTTAATTAATTCATTCCATTATGTGACTCATGTGAAATATAATAATGGGTCCAAATGTGATTTAATAAAATATGAGCACCTATTGGTTATTATGTGAAGTTAGAATAAAATAAAGATAAAATAAAATATTACATTACGGTAACCAACTTGATGGACGTTGGTTAATAGAATGGAATAAGGGTTCTGTCTCTGGTCATAAAGTTTTTCACGGAAAACCATCAAGAAAGCGTGAGAAGAGAAAGAAAGACAAAGAGATAGATTGGGAAAAGGAGATTGAAGAACGAGAAGATTAAAGAATATATTTTCATGGATCAAGGTTAGTTCTCTTATTATGATTCATGTATGTTATGTTGTGAAAATCAATAATCTAAAGATCCTGTAGAGTAGTTTTCCGTAATAAATTAAGAAAAGTAGGAAAACTACATAATGCTTTTACAATTTGATCAACCAAAGCTCCATTCATTATATTCAAATAAAGGAAGTGACCGATCTAAGACCTTAAACCAGTGGGAACAATTTACTTTTCAAATAATATAAAATTAAGGAAATATTCTCTTCCAAGTACTATATTTGTACACTGTCAACTATACATAGGTCTATCATAGAACACTGGTCAACAAGTTCAAATACATGTATACAAAATCAGGGTCAAAATAAAAAAATTTCAAATATTTAGTAACAAAATCAGGATACACATGTACACTCTTCTATATATATATATAGGTTTGTCACACACTTCTTGTGTAACATATCCATGACATCTATATTACATTCGCTTGAGAATGAAATGATACGTAAACATAAAAGCATTGACATATTATCCTCTTAGAATGAGAGGAATTTTGAAAAGAAATATTGAAAATGTAAACATTGGATTTAAGAATTTTCCAATGGATACACGATAATATTTCAATTTTTTTTTCGTATTTATCAAAACAAATTTGAGTCAAATTAATTACTTTTTCATAGTCATGGTAAATAATAATATATACTTAATTATATTAATTTCTTTAATAGAGAGAAGATAAAATTAATTTAGTTGTTATATATGACATAAGTTAGTCCAACTAGTATAACTAATTTGATTAGTACAACTGGTCTAAATAGAGTATTTGGTACAGAGATTACTCAGTAACCTAATAAATTAAAACATTGTATTGCATCCAATGAAATACCATTATATCACAGTACTCAAACTCCTCATTTTTTTTATAGGATTTTTCTCATTTTTAAGAAGTTAGTAACTTAATAACGCTGCCATATTTGTGATGTTTTTTTTCTTAAGTTATTAATTTAATTATATTTTTAAAGGGGATTATTTTTTATAAAACTTTGATAAAAATAAAATATTGGATAAACATTTATATATTTATATGTATAAATATATGAAATTTATTAATTTACATTGTTTCTATGTCAAAAATAAATATTAAATAAATATTAAAGTTGACAAAAAAATTCTCTAAAAATAATTTATTTATTAATGAAATTTGTTTTTCAATTTGATATATTCATCTGTTTAAGTTGACATTTTTAATATATTATACACAAAAGATAAAATAAATAAGTAAAAATAAATATCATATAAAATAATATAATTTCAAAACAGCTTTTAAAAACATTCCTTTTGAATTTTATTAACATGTTTCCATTTATTTTATATTAAAAAAATTTGAATTGATTTTTTAATGATTAATCAAAATAAATAAGTCTAACTCAATCTCTTTTATGGTAATTACTCATTTAAATTCTTAAGATCTAACTTCTAATTATAATGTAATATTGTCTTCGTAAATAAAAATATTATTCTTCAAGAATGATTTTAAAAAGTATAAATATAAATTAATAAAAAGAATTAATATGTAAATAAAAATAAATAAATATTATAATTAAAAATAAATTAAATAAATCAATATAAACAAAACCAATATATGTAATTAATAATAAATAAATATAAAATAAAATTAATACATAAAAAATAAATTAAATATATATATATAATATAACTAATATATTATTAAAAATAAATAAATAAATATAATAAAATAAAATAATATTATTAGAGACATCTTATTCCACACTCATAATTACAAATAAAATAAAATAATAAATATTTACCTTCTTTACTTTATAATTACGTATTATATAGCAAAATTTTATATATATTATTCATATAATTTATTTATCTGTTTATATATTTTCTTTTTCTTTTTCTCTTGTTTTCTCTCTTTCTCTTTTAATCTTACCCCAATCTTTTACCCGTGGATAACTCCTTTTATACTTTGCCTTTTTCAAAATTTTTTAATTTATTTTAATTACACATTAAATGTAAGTAATTAAGGTCTTAAAGATTTTTTTTAACAAAGTTTTCATGCAGGAAGAGATAAGTTGTTCTTACTTTTTTCTTAATTAATAATAATTATTTTTTAAATTAATAATTTTTTGAATTATTAATAAATATTTGTTCTTATTTTTATAATAATTTAAATAATAATAATTATTATTATTCTTAATAAATATTTATTTATTTTGAATAATAATAATAATCTTTTAACAAATGAGTTTTTTATTATAAAAATATTTAAATTACTTAAACATATTATAATTTAATATATTTTAGTTAAAAAATTTATCTGATAAATTTTGAGATGTGTGATAAAATACCGAAGAAATTTTAATTTATCTTTTAAAAAATTATTGTAGTAAAAATAGTTCATCCTTCTAAAGTAGATATAATCATTTAGCAAATGTTCTTATTGTATCATCAACATTCCTCCCCTCTTAAAATTCAGTTCATCACTGCATTTGGGAAAAAGAAAATGAAAAACTGGCGTCGCCCGGACTTGAACCGGAGACCTTCAGTGTGTTAGACTGACGTGATAACCAACTACACCACGACACCCTATTGATATTGAAGTTGAAAATTATTATTTTTCAATATAATTAAGTTATAATATTTTATGAGAATATTACATTAAAGCAATTAAGAAGAAACTAAACTATACTAAGTTCAATTCAGTCACATGCAATAGTTAATGTACATAAAAATTGTTACTCTTATGCAATAGTAGAGATACTTAGTTTCTCTCAACAAAAGACCGAATAAAAAATAGTGGATAGTTTATAAAAAATAATAAGAAAAGTATTAATTGAAAAATAATTATAGGAGTAAATTTTAGTATTAAATATAGGCGAGTATTACATAAATTCTCAAACTACGACTTAATCCATAAAATTACAACAATATAATTGAATTTAGGATAAGCCGACTAAATTCTTCGCTTTCAAACTTCTAAAATTTATTATATTTTCTAATACTATTTTTTGAAAATCTATGACAAATAAAAGTTGAAAAATCTTTTTGGTGAACCCAAAAAAAAAAAAAATATATATATATATATATATATATATATATATATATATATATATATATATATATATATATATATATATATTTTATAGGAAAAACCCTTCATCATATTACGACACTGCTTTCTCAGAAAAACAACTTCATTTATCTCTAAATTTTTTACTACATTGCATTTTAGTGTTCCACCCAAATTAAGTCTATGCTTGCTTGAATCCATTTTTTGTTAATATAGTTTCGCAAATATGCAATTTTGATCCCAATAAAATTTTAATTACATATTTAATCCTAGTCATTTAATTATTAGCCAAAAATATAAATATATCCATCAGGTCTTAAAATTTGTTGTTAAACATCACAATTAAAATTTTACGGAATAAGCCAAATTGCCAATTTGAGTCCATAAGATTTTCTTAAATGAATATGAAGACTATTATATCCTGATTTTAACTGGATAATTTGCTTCGAATGGAAACGCATTCATTTTATTGTTCATGTCATAAAAGTAATTAGTATGTATGAACTCAATCAAACTAACACAATTGCATATTAGCATTTTAAGGTTGATTAAATTACAAATTCCATTAGTTCCCAGCTTAAGATTCAAACCAACTATATGTTAATAGCATTGTAATGTTATTTCAATATCACACATTCACACTATGTTAAAAAAAAACCTTGATTTTATGTTTTGGTGTGCTACTTGTGGTTGGGGTGCTCAGTGTTTTACTCTCTACTTAGTTGACAGGAATCATCACCAAGGCATCATAAATAGGCATTGTGAAAGTATAAACCAAATTACAACCACATTCCAACAGAAAATAATTATTGTCAGTTATAATGTTTGAAGAGGTTTTGTATTGTACTGCTTGCATGCATTTTCTCTAGAAATATTTAGAGGGCAAACATTGTCAATGGAAAATATTCAAAGACTGTCGTACAAACAGAAAAGATCATTGATTTTTTGGAAAACATGGGCATTGGCTCATTCCAAAACGCCTGTGTTATTATTTTGGATAACAGCGGTGCATAGTTTCATTCCAAAGAACACTTTTGCTCGAATGCTTGCTGCTCTTTGCGACACAAGTCAAATTCATTTGTATGGTAATACATGCAGCCTACATAATCATTCATCTCATTTGTGCACTTTTGGTGTAGATCTTTCAAACTGCAGAAAAAGCATTTGTTCACCATCACAAATAAATCTTCAAGGAAAAAAAACCACGATGTGTGACATTACCAGACAATGTTAAAAGACCATCCTACGTGGGAGTTATCATCTTAATAAAAGCTTTCAGTTATAACATATCAAATAAAAATCATACAAAATCATGTGCTTCTCAAATTTAGTTTTCTTTTCTTTTTCTGTAAAGTAGTAGTATAGGTATAATTGTCACTATAGTAGTACATCCATCTCTTAAACTCCTAGATTAGTTACAGAGATTAGTTAGTTAGTTTTATATACTTGATTGAACTTTGTTACTACTTTTGGGAATTATAAAATTCATGTTCACATAAAATCTAAAATCAATCTCTCATTCTCTCTGGACCTTGATACAAAAAGGAACATCTAACATATAGAAATATATAATATAAACCTGTGTGTATCTCTGTGAACAAAAATACTATTCTGAAGGAATTACATTATTTGTCACAGAAGAATGCATTGACCAGTGATACTAATGACCACAAACGTTTCCTCCCAAAATAAAACCTCCAAAAGACAAAGTCATCAAATAGAATTTTCAACAATGTGTATGCAACCTTCAAATTCCGCAAACAAGGAGTAATGCAACAGCAAGCAGCAGGTTGGGGATTGATAATAATTCAACTTTGAAACATGTTTTAAATATTTTATCATTGTTATTACCATCTCATCAAATATATGGCATTTCCAATTTAACATATATTCTAATTTTAACAACTAACCAAGCATTAGTTATGAACACAATTGTATGATTCATGGATTTGATGATAAAAGAGCGTAAAATAAGCAATAAACAGAGATAAGGAACCGACATGATTATTTGATATGGAAACAACCATAAGAGACTTTCATGCAATGTAAAAATTAACAAGGTAGTCCAGAAATCAAAGCTCCAACACTAATACAGCCTCTTTAAGCAAAGAGCCACATCTATCTACTTTTAGCTCTGATAATTCAATTTTGAAACATGTGTAACATATTTTATTACTGTTATTACTATCCTGTAAAATATATGGCATTCCCAAGTTAACAAATCTTCAAATTTTAATAATTAATAAAGCATTAATTATGAACAAAATTGTAAGATCCATGAATTTTATGATAAGTCGGTGTAAAATCAGCAATAAACACAGATGATGAACCCACATGATTATTTTATATGGAAATGACTACAAGGGACTTTCTTGGAATGTAAAAATTAACGAGAAAGTCCAGACATCGAAGTTCTAATACTAATTCATGTAAGGCTATTTTTTTCTAATACTAATTCTTGTAAGGCTACTTTCCATCCTATCTGATCTACTCTCATCACTAAAGCTTCTATAGGTCTCCTCTACATAAGTGCAAACCACCGAAGGTTAGACCCAACTATTTTCTCTCAACGTATGATACAAACTTTCAGTCAAATGCTTTAGCTCCTAATCTTATCCTGTCTAACGCATCATCCATTTGTTTCAAGTGGACACTAATGCTGGTGATAACATTGCAGTATAGTATGTTCACTCAACCACAGCAGCACTCTCGCCTTTACTTCATTAAGTTTATTCTCATCATGAGAAGAGAAACAAATATAGTCTAAACTTAAGTGCATTTTCCACCCAACAGAATGGACTTGTTATTATTCAAAAACATAACAAAGATAATTAATGACAAAAAAAACTACCAGAGGACAATCAAGATACTACTACTGCCTAAGAAGCATTGAACTTATCTATACCAGCTTACCATTACTCATGTTAGCCTTTGATTGCAACATTGCCCAACACTCAATTCTAAGATTCCATACAACATTGCATATCTAATACCTGTGGTAAAATTTTCCCTTGACATACTTCAATAAGATTCTAGGATGAATTTTTGGATCATAATGAGGAAGGTTCCATTTACCCATTCAGGAATCAATAAGCATGCCAATGATTCTGTTAAAATTCCATATAAAAGTTCTACTTATCTAGAATTTCAAAGAATTGTACATTCACACTTAAAGCATTACTCGGTTATCGTTCTATCTGCAATTCCAACAAGTAGTCCAAATAGACAACAGAAATCAGAAAATCAGGTGACAAATACAAACTTCGAGGGCTGTCCATAGAGCCAGACAATGGCTTCCAATCCAATCTTCATGTAAGAGTAATCCAATTCCACCTTCTCAAATATAACAGCAAAACATTTACAACATACTAGTACGTACGAGTCAGATAACATCATTTTTGTTTCGCAAGTTTACTTCTTCATTGACAATGCTATTCAAGGTTTTACCTTAGACTAAATGTAGAGAATGGGTTACATAAATAATACAATAACATTGATTATGAAATCACGATATAACCCAAAAAATAATAATAGAGTCAAGAAATCACTCACCACTTCAAAATCTGAAAAATCAACAAAACCTACTCGGATATTTCTACCCTATCAAACAGGAATAAAAATCATCAGAGACAAGAAAAACTCACAGGCCAAGGACACAGCGGGTAACGTTGCGACCCTTATCGAGACACTTTTCAGGGTTTTGATCCTTCTTCTTGCACTTCAGAAACTCCAAGTTCTCGGAGTGGCACCGAATCCCAATGTGCTTCGACGATGCCATCAACACCGACGACGATGGGATCGGGTTTCCCGATGAATCTACAGTGCTCGACATTTGCAGCTCAATCAAGCAGAACAAGAAAATGGAGCGCAATTCGATCAGTGTCGTTCCAGTTAGTTTGCCGAGAAAATGAAAGAAAATTACTCGGAAAATTGGGGAAGAGAAAATGCAGAAGGGAAATGCATTTACCAAATTGCACCGATTCTTTGTGGTATAGTGTTGTGTGGGGGAGTGGACAAGACAATCAGGGGTACTCTCGTAATTTGGTTTTAAGTCAAAACAATGCTCTAATTTAGCTTCATTTAGAAATTCTGAATAGCTCCAATTTTTTAGGGATTAGCTTTTCTTTATAGCATATTTAATTTTGAAAAGTTATATAATTTATTTATCATGTTCTTATTTTAAACGCTAAATTTAGGACATTAGTATTTCATTCATGTAAAGAAGAAAATAAATCATATTGAGAACTATTAATATCTGTCGGAATTTTTTAAAGCACATGATAAAATAAGTTTTATAAACAAGTTAATTGTTGGGACAAGACGAATGAAAAGCTAAAATCTTTCAACACAATCAATCATTCATTACCAGTTTTATTCCAATCATTGTTTTAGTTCTACTGCTCTACGATGGTTACGATCAAAAGCTTAAGAGCCGGACCTTTATATTATTCTTGTTCAAAGCACATACTGCATAGTTTATTTAGAGTAGTTACAATTTGTTTTCTATAGATTTCAATCAATATTTTCATCTTAATCAGACAAGAAGTTTCATCCTAGAAAACAACTTAAAATAAAAAGGTTAAAATTATAATTAATGTCTTGACATGAACTATAAATTTCGGACTTCTACAATAATAATTTGTTCCTGGGAAAAGATGTACATTATTAATTTTTTATTCTGTGGTATGTTCTACTCGTGGTTTGGTTGCTTGGTGTTTTACTTGCCTACTTCAGTCGGCAGGAACCACCAAGGCATCAGAAATATGCATTTTGAACATAGAAACCAAATTACAATCATATTGCAACAGTAAAAAATTCTTGTCAGTTATTATGTTTGAAGAGGTTTTGTCTTGTCCTGCTTGCATGCATCTCTCGAGAAAAATTTAGAGGAAGAACATTGACTATGGTAATATTCCAACAGTGTTGTACAAACAGAAAAGATCAATGATTTTTTGGAAAACAGGTGCACTGGCTCACTCCAAATCGCCTGTTAATTATTTTCACTACAGCAGTGCATAGTTTCATTCCAAAGAACACTTCTGCTCGAATGCTTGCTGCTCTTTGCGACACAAGTCGAATTCATTAGTATGGTAGTACATGCAGCCAACATAATCATTCATCTCATTTGTGCACTTTTGGTGTAGATCTTTCAAACTGCAGAACAAGCATTTGATTACCATCATTCATAAAATCTTCAAGGGAAAAAAAAGCCATGATATGTGACATAATGTAAAAGACCATCATACTGAAAGCTTTCAGCTATAACATATCAAATAAATCACAAAATTATGTGCATCTCAAACATATTAGAGTATAGTTACCCGTGGAAATAGTTTTCTTTTTCTGTACAGTAGTAGTATAGGTATAACATCACCACAGTCGTACATCTGTCTCTTAACCTCCTAACGAACTCTTAGAATTGTATCCTAACGTACAGTTTTTTTACAGATTAGTTAGCTGGTTTATTTGTATACGTTACTGTACTCTCTTACTCTGGGAATTACAAATTCATTTTCCCAGGAAATTTAGAATATCTTTCTCATTCTCTCTCAACCTTAATACAAAACGAACGTCTAACAGATAGAAATAAACCATATAAACCTGAGTGTATCTTTGTGAACAAAAAATACTATTACAATAAGATTATATTATTCGTCACATAAGAATGCATTAAGAAGTGATAATATAAACCATAAATGTTTCTTCTCCAAAAAATACCTTCCCAAAGACAATCATCAAACAACAATGGCTATGCAACCTCAATATCTGTAAACAAGGAAAATGCAACAGCAAGCAGCAGGTGGGACTGATAATCAACTTTGAAACATGTTTTACATATTTTATTATTGTTATCAGTATTCATCAAATATATAGCATTCCCAAGTCAACATATGTTCTAATATTAATAACTAACAAATCATTAGTTATGAACAAAAGAAGATCCATGGATTGATGATAAGATGATAAAAGGGTGTAAAATCAGCAATTAACACGCCCACATGATTATTTGATATGGAAACGACCACAAGGGTCTTTATATGGAATATAACAATTAATAAGACAGTCCAGACATCCAAGTTCTAATACTTATACTGTTATACAGCATCTTGAAGCAAGGAGGCACATCCATTTGTTTAACCATAATTTCAACTAAAATATAACCTTTCAACATTTCCATTTATGAAGTAGACACAGGAAATTGGGGGGCAGAGGGTATATGAATTTTTTCATGGCCAAAAGCAAACATACACAAATCATCATGAATTACGATTTATAGTATCTGAAATGTTAGTCTGTTGCAGATACTCGGTATTCTAATTAATTAGAAGCATGTCAAAATCAATCTGTTGTAGATTGGTCCTTAGCACTCAACAAAAAATTTCGCACACAACTGCAGACGGACATTCTGTAAACAACAGTGCATGTACGAGGGAAAAAAAAATGGAGATACATCTGAGGAATCAATTTGCCCAACTTCATTCACCAACGTGACAATGTCTACCCCATTAGTATTTAAAATAAATTGGGGTAATGCTACAACAACCAAGCTTTTCCCACTAGGTGGGTTGGCTAGATGAATCAAATGATGTTATAATGCCCCATTGTGAATCATTTCATTAAACAAAATAACAAACCACCTCTCAATAATTCTTAATGCTTTTGTTGTGGTTTTTCCCGTTTGCCTCCCCTCTAGTGGCAAGCTACTTGCCATCTTATGTACTCTCCTTAATAAAGCTTCAAAAGGTCTTCTTTAGACAAGTCCAAACCACCTAAGGTTAGATCCAACTATGTTCTCTCCAATATGTTGTATACAAACTTTCACTCCTAATCTTATCTTGTCTAATGCATCATCCATTTTGTTTCCTGCACACTGGTGCTGGAGATGGCATCACGTAATAGCATGTTTACTCATCCACAGCAGCACTCTCATATTTATTACATTAAGTATATTCTCATCATGAGAAGAGAAAAGGAAATATATTTTCTGAACATAAGTTTTGCACCCAGCAGAATGGACTTATTTGTATTCAAGAACATTATTACATAGATAATTAATGCCAAACACTTTAATAAAGAACAATTAAAATACTATTACTTCCTTAGATGCATTGAACCTAGCAATAACAACTTATGAAGTATCTATGCTACTCAGAAAATAAACATTAAAGAAGCTCATCTCCTAAAATATTCCTATTCCCAACACTCATGTCAGTCTTTTAACACAGCATTGCCTAACACTCAATTCAGATATTCCATATATCATATCTTAAACTTGTACAAATTTCCCTCAGTTTGAGCAGTACCATTTTGACAGTTGCAATAGGGGTAATGATATGCAATGAGAAAGAAGATAGACAAAATTTTGAAAAAAGTCAGTTAGATTCAAGGATAATTTTTGGATTATAATGAGGAAGGGGCCATTTACCCGTCCAGGGGTCAACAAGCATGCCAAATCATTCTGTCAAGATCTCACATAAAAGTTCTACTTATCCAGCACTTCAAATAGTTATACGTTCTCACTGAAAGCCTTACTAGATTAACGTTCTACAAGCAATTCCAACAAGCAGTCAAAAGTATACAACAAAAATCAGAAAATCAGCTGACAAACACAAACAATGAAAGCTTGTTCATAAAGCCATTAATGCCAATATATAAACACTAAAAAAAGAGGATCTTGTACAAAATTTGAGCACACTCAATTTCTTCACAAATACAAATAAACAAAATAAACCTTCGTTTCCCAACCTTCAAAGTCGTTGATAAAAACAGTAAATAAATTATCCAAACACTAGCAAAGGAAATTGTTCTGTGTTGCAATAGAGAAATGGATGCTATACAAATATATTTGTAATACAATTCCACCTTCTCAAGTTTAAAAGCAAACTCACATTTCCAGTAATTATGGATCAGATAATATAATTTTTATTTTTGTTTCACACCTGTTTACTTCTAATCCTTTCCGAGGTTCTATCGTACACCAAATGTAGGGAATGAATAACATGAATAGCACAATAACATTGTTTATCAACCTCACAAAAATGCTCGTATATCAAAAAAAAAAAAAAAAACAAGAAATCACTCACTACTTCAAAATCTGAAAAATCAACAAAACCTATTCCAAATTTTATAGCCTACCAAACAGGAATAAACATCAGCAGAGACAAAAAAAAAAAAACTCACAGGCCAAGGACACAGCGGGTAACGTCGCGACCCTTATCGAGACACTTTTCAGGGTTTTGATCCTTCTTCTTGCACTTCAGAAACTCAAAGTTCTCGGAGTGGCACCGAATCCCAATGTGCTTCGAGGATGCCATCAACACCGAAGAGGATGGTATTGGGTTTCCCGAGGCATCTACAGTGCTCGCCATTTGCATTTCAATCCTTGTTAAGCAGATCAAACAAGGGAAGCGCAATTCGACCAGTGTCGCTCTGTTAGTTTGACGAGAGAATGAAGGAAAATTACTAGGAAATAATAATAATAATAATAAATATTTTTCATATGTATTATTAAAATAATTTGAATATTTTTTATAATATTAATTATTTTATTAAATCTTTAATAATCATAAAAAATATTTAATTTTATATCATTATATTATAATATTAATTAAAAAATTGGATATTATAAAATATTATGACTTAGTACACACTTAAATAGAAACATAGGTCATTTAATTGATCTATATAATATAAAACTAAGATTTATTTAGTAATAATAATTAAAAAAATTAATAATACAAAAATTAAGTAAAATATTTTAATTATACCATAATTATTATAGTATAAAAATATTTTAAACTATCTTTTAAAGGCTATTTAATTTAGCGCTAAGTGAATAAAATTTACTTATCATTTTCTTTGAAGGTAAAATTTATAATATTGTTATTTCAGTTATGTAAAGAAGAAAATAAGTTTTGTTAACGTAATTTATGTTGAAAAATCTAACTAAATATTTAATGAATAAAGATTTAGAAAATAAATTAATATAACATTAAATTATAAAATATTTAATGAATATACTGTGATTATCATATTATAAATTATTTTGGAGATAAAATAGTTCAGACACGAATTTGATTTTTATTTTATAAATTTATAATTTCCTTGCTCAAGTTAATTATTTTGTCTGAAATGTAAAGTAACGTTGATTCTCAATAGGGTGATATTATTGAGATTTTAATTATCGTTATAATGCCTTGGCAAACACTAGCATATAAATATAAAAATATTTAAATCATTAAAAATAATATAATTTAATATATTATATTTAAAAAATATCATAAATATTATTATTATTATGTTATAATTATTAAGATAAAATAAAATATCTATTTTATAATAATTTTTTAATAAATATTTTTTTAAAATTACCTAATTTAATTAATTATCGTAACTCTATCTAATTATAACTAAATTAAATTATTAAATAAAAAATACATTTAATTTATAAATATTTGATATTTTTAATTAGATAAATAATTATTTATTATAATAAAATATTTTTAAATCAATTACTTATTATCATCGTAATTTTAAATAATTAATTAATATTTTTTTTAAATTTCATTGTTAATTTTAAAATATAAAAAAAAAAGAGAAGTAAAATTAAAAAAATTGAGATCGAGAGAGAAAAAAATAAATAAAATTATGAGAAGAAAAATTGGATTGATAAAGATTCTAATTAAATAATTTTTTTTAAATATATTATTCATAAAATTCAGATAAATTAAAAAAAAATTAGAAAGATAAAATTGTTGGGATGAAGGTAAGAAATTACTTGCACTGCATTGCTTGGAATTCAAAGTTAAATTAAATTATATTAAGAAACAAACTGATGTAATATATTGAATTCGATAAATAGCATAGAGATAAGAAGTAAAATTAATATATACTTTAATGCATAAGAAAATAATATTATTTTCTAAATTCCATTTAAGATATGTTCTCCTGCTGATTAATAATAAGAAGATAAAGTAGTATTTTTATATTTCCTTGTATTGTCTTCTTAAAAAAAATTATTTAATAAAATAATAATATCTTCCCATCTTTTTTATTAAGTTGTATTCTTATATTATGGTTGATTAAGACCCTTAAAAAAAATCATGTTTTACTCTAATGGTCAAAATTCCTTTATACAAATTTGATTTGTATTGATTGAAAATTCAAATCAATAAACTATGTTTTCTGAATCTCACCTAGCAAATGGGTGTTATTTTGGTATATGATTAACTTAAAAAAAAAAAAACAAATAGAAAGATTTGGTCTTCTTAAAAATTCTTTCATATTTTTTTACATCAACATTCTTGACATTTCATCTCAAAATTATATGGTATAGTGTATGACCTAAAATAAGGAGTATATTTCATCAAGAAGAATAATTTTAGATATTGTGAATAGGTTTTATCCTGAAATTTTGTGGATTAGAGGAAACGTAGTAAATAAAACTTTCTTATAATTAAATATTTATACAATAAGTCTTTGTGATGATATGCTAATAAACACTCCAAGATCACAGTGTTTTCCATTACTAGTTTCAAAGCACACAAATCAGGATTATCATTGTGCTTGTGTTATGTTTTCCTTTTCATTGAGTACAATAGGAAGATTGGAAAAGAAAAACTCTTAAAAGTACTAATGAGAATTTCAAAAGGACATCAAATATAGTAGATAATTTGTTGAAAATAGAAAAACAAGACATATAGACTTATTAAGAAAGAAAGGCGTAAAAAAGAGTTATAAGTAAAAAATATAAAAGAAATTAAATATAATATATAAATTTTCTTGTGAAAACATAATTCTTTTTTTTAAATGCATTAGATTAAAAGAAACTTCTTTTTTCAAAATAAATTTCTAGAATATTCCAATATTATAAGAGAATAATATTCTTTGAATATTTTAAGATATTTTTCTATAAAATATATTTTCTTTTTAATAATATGTTTTAGAGTAAGATAGTAAAATATCATAAATTACTTTTAACTAACTTACAAATTATAACTAATTAATATAACCAACAATTCAATTGTTCAATTTAGCTTTCTCGACACAATTATATAATTCTATAAACGAAACTTCCTTGCCTAATTCCATGGAGTCTTTTTAAGTTTCTTTGGATCAACAACATCAACAGTTGACACATCTTTACAATTCTAGTGAGGATTACATCTCATGAGGACATGAACCACATATAGAATGCCGCATGTTATTGGATGATGTACATGAAACTGATTTTGAAACTTGGAATGAACATACCACATTCTGTGTACACAATATTGTCACCACAACGGTGAATTCTTAAAGCCACCTACAATTCTGTGCATCCATCATAGATTGACGCACACTCCTAACCTTGCTAATCCCCATAGAGAGGGACAGCTTCGTTCAATTTGATAATAGACTTGAAATCTGAGAAACACTAATTTATGTCATCGGATTGGAATATCAGATGTAAAATTCAGCTAGCTTCAATCCCTCTATGCCACAGATAAACGAGACTGTAAGTTTATACTAGTTGCAGACACCCATAGGATTTGCATTCTTGATTATCCAAGGATGCTCCATTATCCTCTGAAGTGAGAGTCTTCGTGAAGAGTCTTTTACCAGAAGCTGCACCAATTTACAGATTGCAGTAAGAAGAAGGAACAAATCTTCTCTGAAAAGGATATATGTAGATATGAACTTACCCGACTAATAAGATGTTTGGCTTCTGGAGAAACATAAGGAGTAGAAGGGAAACTTAAGTCAACCTTCATAATCCTACAAAAGTCTAAAACATCACATATTCATAGAAAAAGTGACATTTGTTTTATGATAAACTATACTGTGTATACAAGTCTCTCGGAATTTCATACCTTTTGAAGGTATCAACTTGACTCTCAGCCTCAAATGGAGGAGCACCATAAAGAAATTCATAGCAAAGGATACCCAAAGTCCAGTTATCAACTGCGTAATCATGAGCTTTGTTTTCTACCATTTCGGGTGCTAAATAATCCAAGGTTCCACACATGGTATGCCTTTTGCTTCTAGATTGTACTGACCAACCAAAGTCTGCAATCTTAAGACGACCCTGAAACCAAGCCATTATCAAATTAATTGTTCAAGTTCCCTAAAGTTCAAATATAAATGGTTCCAAATGGTTGTCAAATGGTTTTCATCATATATCTACAATAAGCAACATTCTCAGTTTAAGTTTACTTTCCTTCCTTTTATTCTCTTCTAAATGGGGGAACGTAACTAGGAAAGGGATTGAAGAAGGAAATAAAACGACAAAATGAATATGGTTGTATGCTTTAATTTCTTTGAGTTGTGTTCCCGTAAGTCGATGATGCCAAGTGAAAAAAACACATTGCTAGCATGGGCAAAAGGCATGTAAAAAGAGGTAAAGCATACCTCATGATCAAGCAACAAATTTTCAGGCTTGATATCCCTGTGAATTACATGCTTCTCATGACAATATGCCAATGCCTTTGTAAGGCTTAAAATATACTACAATTATCAGATGAAAGAATATTGAGTCAACACATTGAACATAATACGAAAATACATAAAACTTGCTTATAAATAGTACATGGGCAAGCATAGAAAATAAAATAAACCCTCCTAAGAATATTTTTACTGATCCATTTCACTCAATTTCTTTGTAGTTCCATATTTCACAGGATGTCCATACAATAAGTTCTAAAGCCCACAAAACCACTAGCATATAACTTGATAGATTTGATTAAATGTAAAGAGTTCTGTTTTATTCCTGTTAGTTAATCGATTTTCTGACAAAAAACTACGGATCCTTTCGGCTCAATTTTTTTTTTCTCAAAAGTCAAAACCCAATGCCTAGAACCAATGAAAATGTTCATCATTCAGCCACTAAGACACAATTATGCTACCCCCCAAGCGAATGCCAGATTAAAGCATTAACAAGTGCTAATTAGAATGGATTGGAATCAGGAAGGGCATAGTAGCGAAGTAAAAGGTAACACGAGTTAGACAAGTCAGCCTACACAAATTATGTCACAACTCAGTTAAGACCAACCCAAGAAATCAAGCTAGCCATTCATGTTTTCAAAAGGCCATGTTTGGTTTCACCGTAAATAATCCAAAATCACATTAAAAAACCAGTTAATATAATTTTAAGCAAATATTCACATTTTTGGGCTGATGTTGAAGAATTGATTTTGGATCAAAAATTAATTTCGAGGTGAAGAATTTTTAGATAATCAGTATGGTTTAAAGTTACAGAAGTACTTTTGTGTGTTCCAGTACAAAATTGCACGTTCCAATACATGAATTGAAAAAAAAAATGTTACTTCAAGAGTAAAAGTACTTTTTTAGCTCTCCCAACTTTAATCCAAACATCCACGCCCCACTTATTATGTTGACTAAAAACATTTGTACTCAGTATTCTTTTCATATGTTTTTAGAATAAGGTTTTAATCTGCGATTACGGTTTCGTCGCAGTCCTTGATACTGCAACAAATTACGAAAAAATGCTGCTGACCCATTACAATCACAGAGATCCCCGTAATATTGGTCATGCAGCCAAAATTGCTGTGACAAACAGTTTTTTAAGAACTTTGTTTCAGAATACAAACATCCAAATATAAATTACTTTTACCTTCAACATCAATTTCATTCAAAATCAATTTTGCACGCACACAGTCAAACATACTTTCATCGCATGTTTAGTTTCGCGTCGGATCAAGTCAAACGCTGATCCATGATCATATTCACGCTGAAAGTACTTTAGATAACTTGTTTTTTTACATCTGAAACATGGATCAGAGACTCTAAATGCCAAACCAAACATGCTATGAATCTTCAAAAATCGGATAGAGAGACCCATTGGCAGTAAGAAAGGATTACCGTGGCAGCTTGCTGCTCACTGAAATGCCCTTTTTTGCTAAGCTCCTTGTAAAGCTCACCATTGTGAGCATATTCCAGAATCAAAAAGACGTTCTCAGAGTCATGAAACCAACCATAGAGACGAAGGATGTTCGGGTGCTTCAGATTGAACTGAATTTCCATCTCCCTCCTCAGTTGATGATGGATTCTGTACTTCTCAAGTTGTTCCTTCGAAATAACCTTCAATGCAATAACAAATTTGCTCTGCAAAAGCCAAACAAATAAAAATAACAATAACTAAACAAATTCTCTCAGCGATTTTTGTCCAATTTGAAAATTCTAGTACTCGAAAACCTAAAAGATATGGGAGATTTGCAAATTTTTTTGAGGAAATTGAAACCTTGAGTTCTCTGGCGACGTAGACTCTGCCGAATTTGCCTTTGCCAAGAGGCTTTCCGATCTCGAAGTCGCTGAGGGACCATTGTCGTTTCGAGTCGTCGTCCATTTTCTGATGCTACGAGAGTTGTGAGAATTTGAATTCGTTCAAAGCCGCGCACAATCAACCCGCACCGTTTAATACAAGGCATTGTTCACCGTGTGATGACTGTTCAGAGTAAATTATAATGCATTCTCTTTCATGTACACTTTTTTTATTCTAATCTCAAATATTCATTATGTAATTCTCTGTGAAATAAATTCACCGTAATTGAATCATATACATATAACATTATATGTATCATTTAAAAAAATATTTTTATTAGATTGAAAAACGAAATAAAAAAAATATAACATATGTTTCCTATTTACTTCTTGACAGGGAGCTTAAAGGATTGGGGAGATTTAAAAATAAAGTCTTTTATTTAATAATAAAATAATTTATGTTAAAATATATTATAATTTTATTTAAAATTTATTTTTTGAATTTTTTGTGAGAAAATGTAGGACACCTTTATGTTGATTTGAGACTGAAGAAAATTTAATCTTAGGTCTCGACATGATTCAACAAACCACAGAAAAAATTAAGATGATTAGAGAAAAATTAAGAACAACTCAAAGTCGACAGAAAAGCTAAGCTGACAAGAGAAGACGACCCCTTGAATTCCAAGAAGGTGAGCATGTATTCTTGAAAGTAACACTGACAACTGGAGTTGGTAGAGTAATGAAAACCAAGAAACTCACTCCTCGATTTATTGGTCCCTATCAAATTCTTAGAAAAATAGGTCTTATTACTTATCAAATTTCCTTACCCCCTTTCCTTTCTAATCTTCATAATGTGTTTCATGTGTCTCAATTAAGAAAATATATTTCTGACCCTTCTCATGTAATAATGTCAGATACAATACAATTAAAGGATAACCTTACATTTGAAACAATGTTTGTACAGATTACAGATATGAAGATCAAGCAACTGAGGGAAAGACAAATTCCACTAGTAAATGTTGTTTGGAATGAAATTACTGGAGATGTTACATGAGAATTAGAAAAGAAAATAAAAGAAAGTTACCCTCATCTATTTTAGTCCCTAAAAATTTCGAGGACGAAATTTCTGTAAGTATGGGAGAAATGTAACATCTCAATTAATGTAAAAGATAAATATTATCTTATCTTAAAAGATAAACTTTATCAAAATCATAATTACTGCATTTATGATTATGTAATTAAATAAATAAAAAGGAAAAAAAAATTGGTATAAAAAGGGAAGGGGGAAGGATACGTAGGGAGAAAGAGAAAGGGAGAGAGAAAGAAGGAGAGAGAAAGAGGGAGAGACAGAAAGAAGGAGAGAGAAAGAGAAAGAGAGAAAAAAAATTGTCTCTCCAAAATTTTGGTACCTCATCCGCAGTTCTTAAGGTAGGGAAGGAAAATATTATCATTAAATCTATTTTATTTTGTTTATAGTTGTGGAGTGAGGTGTCTCTAACCTCATTCTATTTATTTAGTTATTTGTTTATTTATATCTAACTACGTAATGGTCTTATTTTAATTATCTCCAGTTAGGTACTGGTCCTGTTTGTTTATTTTATTTTATCTCCAGTCTTGCACTAGTCCTATCTTAATTATTTCCAGTTAGGTACTGGTCATGTTTGTTTATTTTATTTTATCTACTCTTGCATCGGTCCTATTTTAATTATCTTCGATTATGTACTAGTCTCTGTTTGTTTATTTTATTTTATCTCCAGTCTTGTACTCGGTCCTATTTTAATTATCTCCAGTTACGCATCTGGTCCTGTTTGTTTACTTTATTTTATCTCTAGCAATGTAATGATCCTATTTATTAATATATAGTTATATTATTTAATTATAATAATATCTATTTTTGAATATTTGATGATATTGTAGATGGAGGTTGGACCTTGGGGATTTAAATGAGTAAAATATCACTGTGAGAGTGATTAAAATTAGGCTTATTTATCCCGACTAGTTACTACAAATTTAATTTAAATCTTCATAAAATAGAATGGGTTGAGGAAGATGAAACATATATATTTATATATTATAATATTGTATTATTGTAAATGATAAATTTTCTCACTCCCTATTGTGATCTTTTGTGTATGTTTTATTTAAACACCAACTTAAGTAGATGGAGGCGCCAAATATTCCAAATCCCTTTTCTATAAACATCATTGCCTTCTTTCCAGGAACTACTTGGAATACGAATGTTATAGACAACTCGGTTACTTTTAGAGGGACAAGATTTTCAATAATAACATTTGTATCCGATATGGGAAATCTCATTATGTTAGATGGGCCAGTAGTGGTTATCTTTTGTATGCCTCCTACCTTTTTCCAAAACCCCTTAATCAGTTTGTTTCCATCGACAATGTAGATACTTGTAAAATTGTAGAAAAAAATAGAAGGAATAAAAAATAAAATTCCTTCTTCTTTTGTATATCTTATATAATGATGTAAATTACTTTTACATATATGTAATATTTTTTTGACATGCTATTCTTATACAAATAATAATAATATGTCAAAAAAATATTACATATATGTAAAAGTAATTTACATCACTACATAAGATATACAAAAGAAGAAGAAATTTTATTTTTGATTCCTTCTATTTTTTTTACAATTTTACAAGTATCTACATTGCCTGTGGAAACAAACCGATTAAGGGATTTTGGAAAAAGGTAGGAGGCATACAAAAGGTACCCACTACTGACCTATCTAACATAATGAGATTTCACATATCAGATACAAATGTTATTATTGAAAATCTTGTCCCTCTAAAAGTAACTGAGTTGTCTATAACATTCGTGTTCCAAGTAGTTCCTAGAAAGAAGACAATGATGTTTGCAGAAAAGGGATTTGGAATATTTGGCGCCTCCATCTACTTAAGTTGGTGTTTAAATAAAACATGCACAAAAGATCACAATAGGGAGTTAGAACATTTATCATTTACAATAATACAGTCTTATAATATATAAATATATATGTTTCATCTTCCTCAACCAATTCTATTTTATGAAGATTTAAATTAAATTTGTAGTGACTAGTTAGGATAAATGAGCATAATTTTAATCACTCCCACAATGATATTTTACTCATTGAAATCCCTAAGGTCCAACCTCCATCTACAATATCACCAAATCTTCGCAAATAGATATTATTATAATTAAATAATATAACTATATATTAATAAATAGGATCGCTGCATTACTAGTGATAAAATAAAGTAAACAAACAAGATTAGTACGTAATCGGAGATAAGTAAAATAGGACCAGTGCAAGACTGGAGATAAAATAAAATAAACAAACACGACTAGTACATAACTACAGTATAATTAAAATATGACTAGTGCAAGACTAGAGATAAAATAAAATAAACAAACAAGACCAGTACCTAACTGGAGATAATTAAAATAGGATCAGTACAAGACTGGAGATAAAATAAAATAAACAAATAGGATCAGTACCTAACTGAAGATAATAAAAATAGGATCAATGCAAGACTGAAGATAAAATAAAATAAACAAACCAGTACCTAAGTGGAGATAATTAAAATAGGACAAGACTGGAGATAAAATAAAATAAAATAAACAAACAAGACCAGTACCTAACGGGAGATAATTAAAATATGACCATTACATAGTTAGAGATAAATAAATAAATAACTAAATAAATAAAATGAGGTTAGGGATACCTCACTCCACAACTATAAGCAAAATAAAATAGATTTAATGATAATATTCTCCTTCCCTACCTTAAGAACTGCGGATGGGATACTAAAAGTTTGGAGAGACAATTTTTTTTCTCTCTTTCTCTTCCTCCCTCTCTCTTTCTCCCTTTCTCTTTCTCTCTCCTTCTTTCTCTTTCTCCCTCTCGGATCCTTCATCCCTTCCCTTTTTATAGCAATTTTTTTTCTTTTTATTTATTTAATTACGTAATCATAAATGCAGTAATTTAAGATTTGATAATGTTTATCTTTTACATTAATTCAGATGTTACATTGTCTCCTTCTACCTCTTGAAATCGGTGAAGTCGAAACACACACAAGTAGAATACCAACAACCAAAATTAAAAATATTAAGTCATTAACTAATTTATTATTTGTATGTATCAAACATTCAAACTGAGTAGTCTCGAACAATAAAGAGAATGAGTAGATAAGAACTAAAAAATCATATATAGAGAAGAGAAGATAAAAATTAAAATTAATTAGTAAAAGAATAGAGATAAAAAAATATTTTGGAATTCTTTAACTATTAATATTAATTAACCAATTTTTTTTCTTAAAAAATTATAATTTATTAAAAAACTTGTTAGAAATAATATTAATATTAAAAAAAATTTTAAAAATCTTTTTTTCTAGAGGACCTAAAACAATAGTTTTAACTGGGCCTTAAGTCGGTCCAACTTTTCCATTATTCTTAGTGTCGTTTGATATTATGTATAAATATTTATTTTGGTTTAAATAATACAATTATAACGCTTAAATAAATAAATAATATAATTTAACATAATCACTTTATTTTATTTCATCTCCAATCTTTATTTTTGTCCTTTTTTCTAACATTCTATTATACAACAATATTATTTTTATTATACAGAAAACAAATCTTGTTGGCAAAAATGGTTGAAAATTAATCTTCGAAAAGTTAATATATACAAATATTTTTTTTAGAAAAACCAAAATATATTTTTCAATAAAATCATAAATAAATTAATTTTTTGGGGGAGCGTAGCTTTCGTGAGTCTCCCTCCCTCTGTCCAGATGCCAAATGGGATGACGTGTCTTCCATGCAAATCAACTTTATATCTCATAATCATAGTTTTTTCTAACTCACTTATGCATGGACCTTGAATTTATGTTCTCATATTTTCACTAATTAACATTTACTTGGAAGTTAAACTTTACATAAACTATAACTTTTGTTTTAAATGACCTTGATTTTTTTTTCTTAAAAACATACAAATTAAGTTTTAAATAATAATTAGTCTTTTAATTTTAATATGAATCTATAATCATGAGTTTCTTTAAAATTGAATAGAGTAGTTTGTAATGCAAGTAGGACTATTTTATAATAATGCTTTTACCACTCTTTGGATTGCCATACTATGCCGTTGTCATTGCATTATTAAACCCTTGTTTGACATTTTCTCTCAGGTTAGCATAAAATTATAATGATAACAAACGATGTTAGAAATAGAATATAGTAACAACAGGGTATACAAAACAAACAGAAAAAATGTGGTAGAAAGGACTAAAGATGAACCAAAACTCTGGTAGGGTTTAGACAAAAGTATAGGAAACCCTGAGTTGACGTGTAATAAGAGCTCATTCACTTTGTCTGCAATGTCTGTCTTTTGGATTTAAAGTTGTACACATTTTCTTTGATCAAATTACCTTCGAAGAGAAACAACACACACAAAAATGGATCTTTTGTACACCCTCTTGAGTTTCATTGCCTTTTCTCTTCTGGGTATCTTCCTACTCTTTTGTTTCATCACGTTGACCACTATCCTGGGAAAATCAATTGGGGACCCTGATTATGCTCCTGTGAAAGGCACAGTGTTCAACCAGCTTTTCTACTTCAACACACTCTATGACTATCTAACTGAAATGGTCAAGACTCATCCAACTTTCCGGTTACTGGCTCCAGATCAAAGCGAGGTGTACACTGCAGACCCAAGAAATGTTGAATACATACTGAAAACCAACTTCAATAAGTACTCCAGAGGCAAGTATAACCAGGAAATTTTGACTGATCTTTTTGGTGAGGGAATCTTCGCAGTTGATGGTGACAAGTGGAGGCAGCAAAGGAAGCTCGCAAGCTATGAATTCTCCACAAGAGTTCTTAGAGATTTCAGTTGTTCCGTTTTTAGAAGGAATTCTGCTAAGTTGGTCAGGGTTATCTCCGAATTTTCCCATCAGGGTCAGGTTTTTGATATGCAAGTGAGTGGTTATAATCTCCAAGAGCATATGATTGTGGAAGGATTAGAATTTTTGTTTTGAAATTGTTAAGGAGGCTTCAATTTGGTTCTTTTGGGGACAATTTTTTCACTAACACTTGTTAGAAAGTAAAATGAATTAAGTTTTTTCATTAAGTTAAAATCAATTTACACAGTACATAAAACATTCATGTCTTCTTCAGCTTGTTATGATCATGGTTTTTTAAATGCATCACCAGGAGTTACTTGATCAAATTTTCTTTTCAGTTACTAACATCATATAATCTCTAAGTTGTAAGCAATATTTGTTACTTTTCCAGGACATGCTAATGAGATGCACTTTAGACTCCATTTTCAAAGTTGGGTTTGGAACAGAATTGAACTGCATGGAGGGATCAAGCAAAGAGGGAGGTGAATTCATGAAAGCCTTTGATGAATCAAATGCTTTGATTTATTGGCGCTATGTTGATCCTTTCTGGAAGCTCAAGAGGTTTCTTAACATTGGTTGTGAAGCTACCCTTAAGAGAAACGTGAAAATAATAGATGATTTTGTGCATGGAGTAATCAATACCAGAAAAGCACAACTTAAGCTTCAGAAAGAATCTGTGAGTGGATCAGTAGTTACTTATGTTCTTCCATCAAAATCGTTTCTGTTTCATTGAGTAGAAGAAAAGTTGAGTTTATTTGGCATATTATAATTTTTTATTTTCTTTACCATTTTCAATCAATCAAAGTAGAAATCATCTTGCAAAGATTTTTAAAGTAGCTTTTACCAAGTTTGCTTTGATTTTCAGAATCTTAAAGAAGACATACTATCAAGGTTTTTGATTGAAAGCGAGAAGGACCAAAAAACCATGACTGATCAATATTTGAGAGACATAATTCTGAACTTCATGATAGCTGGCAAGGACACAAGTGCAAACACTCTGTCATGGTTCTTCTACATGCTCTGCAAGAACCCTCTTGTAGAGGAAAAGATTGTGCAAGAAGTGAGAGATGTGACTTGTAGCCATGAAAGTGATCCAAGCATAGATGAATTTGTGGCCAAAATAACAGATGATACCCTTGATAAAATGCATTATCTCCATGCAGCGTTGACAGAAACCTTGAGACTTTACCCTGCAGTCCCTTCGGTACCTTTACAAACACAATCTATAGAATTTTTTTCTAGTACTAGTATCATGGGTTACATAATTATCCAAATTGTGCTCATGATAGCTGCACAATCTGATCTGATTCGTGTTCTGGCTGATTGTTGAATCCTGTTTGTTCCTTGTTGAGTAAAATCAAAACAAAAATTTTCACTTCATGTGAGTGATGATTTTGATGATTTGAATTGAAGGATGGGAGGGCTGCAGAGGAAGCAGATATTCTTCCTGATGGGCACAAACTGAAAAGAGGGGATGGAGTTTACTATTTGGCCTATGCTATGGGTCGGATGTGTTCCATCTGGGGTGAAGATGCTGAGGAATTTCGTCCTGAAAGATGGCTCAACAATGGGATTTTCCAACCTCAATCTCCATTCAAATTCATAGCTTTCCATGTTTGCACCTTCATATTCTTCTCTAAATTATAACTTGCTTTCTTCGTCCCTTACACAAGGAAGGATCAATTCATATTATTACAACTTATATATACAGAAGATATAAGTTAAAAAAAAAAACTTACAGAAGAGAATAATAAAATAAATCTCTTCATAACTTAAAATTACTTCATACACAAATTAAAGATTAAATTTGTTTGAGAAACTAAATGAAATAATTTTTACAAATTAGCCTGTGAGTATAATAGTTTTAACTTATGGAGAATATCATTGAATTTTTCTTCCTAATGAAATAATATATACTGGGGTAATTTTGATGTATATCAATGAAATATTAAACAATTTGGATTGCATTATGAGTAAATAAATGTTTGAATTAATGTGTGACTGTAGGCTGGACCCAGAATCTGCTTAGGGAAGGAGTTTGCTTACAGACAGATGAAAATAGTAGCCATGGCTCTTCTTCATTTCTTCAAATTCAAACTTGCAAATGGAACACAAAATGTGACTTATAAGGTTATGTTTACTCTTCACATTGACAAGGGTCTCCCTCTTTCTGCAATTCCAAGGTCATGATCACTAGGGTCACATATCAACTCAAGCAAATCACATGGAATAAGAAAAAAAAGACATATATATAAATATAAATGTATGATACTGTGGGACCTAAAACTTTAAGTAAGATAGAGTAATTTACTTTTTCAAGTGATGTATTGCTATACTCTCAATTATATACAACTTTATTATAGAATAACTGTTAACAAATTTAAATATATAAATATATAAGATTATGAGATAAAATAAAATATTTTTAAATACTTAATAATAATTTTAATAAAATCAGAATATGGACGTATATTTCAATATATATATATATATATATATATATATATATATATATATATATATAAACTTCAAACAATAAATCTAAAATATTATGACAAAAATATAAATTTTAAAATAAATATTCCAACAAAAATTCAAAATATATAATTTAAAGTATATGAATAAAAAATGATGTTCCAGATTATAGTATATTATCGGGGACCTTATACATTCTCACATTTCTCTTTGTTTTTGTGTAGGTTCCAAACATCTGTTCTTGAATATTATAATCTAAAGAGTAATGATATTTATATATTTTTATTTCAATCAAATAATCAATATACACACTTAATTTAATAATAAATATAAAATTATTTTTTTATTATTATAATATTAAAACTATTCCTTGATATTTAAGTTAAAAGTTGTGAAAAATATAATTTTTAATTTAAAACATTATATATACTTTCATTGGGTTATCTTCATGCAAAATTCACCTAAAGAAGTGTGTGTTATGCATTGCAATGTCATTCATGCAACCTGCAAATGAAGTGCGCCGTGTGCAGCTGAATTGACCGTTGAGGATTATATAATCTAAAATATGAAAAAAAAATATATATATATATATATATATATATATATATATATATAATTAATGAAATAAGTTATATTTTAAATATTCCAAGTAAAAACTCCGAATTAATGAATTTTAAAATATATAATATTTTAAGTTATAAATTATGAAATTTAAAATATAATTTTACTATTTTGAAAAGATTAATTTAATAAAATTTCGGAAAAATTAAATCGGAAAAAATGAAAATTTTACATCTACAGTTAAAATTCTAGATTCGTTTGTTTAGAAATTCGTCTAGAAAAATTTGAAAACTGAAAATTATTATTTATACTTAGGATAATTTTTTTTTTTTTTAGAAATGAGATACATGGTAAATATATATAAGAAAAGGAGTATAAGAAGAAAAGATAAGTAGTTTGTTAATTAGTGTATTTCTATAATTTTTTCTTACCTTCCCATAATTAAAATAAATTTTATTTTATTTTTATATTTATGCTATTTTTTAGATGGATGTTTTATACATATATTATGAATTGTATATTTTAAAAATGTATTTAAAACTAAGTGTTTTAGATATCAATTCTATAGATTAGATATATAAAAATGCATTTTAAATTGGTTAGTATAAAATACACTATGGATTGATTGTTGCAGAAATATATTACAAGTTCAAATTTTTATATATATTTTCAGTCCAATTTTCATATACATTAGCACCAGTATTATGTAAAAGGTATTAAATATTAACAAATTTTATCCTTATGAGCTCAAAACAATAAAAGAAAGACGAAAGTGTAAAAGAATATATGAAAAATGTAAAGAAGCATTAAACAAATTTTTTTAATTATTTTACATAAATTATTGGGGTGTATACACAAATTATAGAGGTACAAGAAGAAAAGGGCAATATCCTTGAAAAAAAACTCATAAAGACAGGTCTGAAGAGTTAGATTTGGATTAAGAAATATAACATGAAGAAAATAAAAATATATATGTAAGAGTAATAGATCAAAAAAATTATGCCTTATTTAAATTCACATAAATAAAAACTTGAGATTTTTTTTTCTGTTCATGTATAGCTGGGTAGGAAAAAGAACGAAAAGGTACAATTAACCTTGTAAATAATTAAGAAGTAAATTAACTTAAAAAATACCAGAAAAACTATATTTTTTTATGATATGAAAACATTTTTTTTTTGAAATATTTTATACAATCCGGAAGAAATAATTTTATTATTGGTGAACCAAATATAATTTTTCATTCTTCTCAAATTCTATTTATTTAAATATGGGAGATTATTGACTATTTCATTCTTTTCATTTTCTTTTTCTTCTGGTTCTTTCATCAATACACACAACCAAATAAATGCTAAAGGTATAGTTTGAATAAGAAATAATGGATAGATTTGACACATCAAAATTGTCAACTTATGTTGTTTACGGAATTTGTTTTTCTGAACATTTTGTTTACGGAATTTGAATTGGTCATTGTCTTTGTTTAAGAACAACTTTTCATAGAATATTAGAATATTACGACACATATTAATGACTTATCCATCAATCAGATTAATTATTGCTAATAAAACTGATTCGTATTAATACGTTGACAAAAAAAAAAGTGACTTATTTGACTAAAATATAACTATTTGATAAATGAGTTTATTTCAATCTTATTAAAATTTATCAGAAATAGAAACTTAATTATTGATATTATTATATGAAAATTCACTCTTTATTCTAATAAGCACAACTTTAGCAGATTTTTTTAAAATATATGTGAAAAAGTCATGCCACTTACAAATTTGTATCGTCCTACAAAAAGTAAAAGTAATATATATTATTTATTTCAAAAAAGATTTCACCTATCAAATAATGTCTTGATACTAACCTATAAATATTCTTTAATTTATTGCTAGATTTTTTAAATAAATTATTATAATTTTGTTCATATGTAATATTAAAACAAATTTACTACAAAAATAAAATTTATGAGTTGCCTCGTATCATGATTTACTGATGTGATACTATATCATACTTATGTGTATGATCATCTTAATACTACATTGTTTTTTTTCATCGTACAACTTAATAATGTTTATGAAAGAGACAGCATTAACATTCTCCAGAAAAAAATTAACATTAAAAATAATAATGGGACAAAATTGAAGGAAAAAATAAAATAAAATAAGAGAGTGCAAAAAATTTGACCTAAGTAAAAAGTAAAAATAATAAAAAATAAAACAAATATTTATTTTTTAATTATTATTGTTATTAAAAAAATATTCATCATTACATAATACATTATGTTCAACTTTTTCAACTCTTAGTTGGGAAAAGATTAGGAATATATATTTATTATTCCGCCGTGTCCAGCAGGAAACAGAACCCCATCAGCTACTCCATATGTACCCTTTCATTATAAACACATTGAACTTTTATCTTGCTACCGTTCAAGGTGACATATTTGTCCTGTAACTTCCCTAGTTCACAACACAAACCATGTCCTCCATGGCTTTTCTTTCACATCCTTATTTCTTTGCAGCTTTGACTTTTTTGGTGGTTCAGTTTCTGTTCAGAAAATTGAACAAAAGGGATAGAAAGAAGTACCACCCTGTTGCTGGCACTGTGTTTAATCAGATGATGAACTTCCACAGGATGCACCATTACATGACTCATCTTGCTGGCAAGTACAGAACATACAGATTGGTCAACCTTTTCAGATACGAGGTTTACACTTCAGAACCAAGTAATGTTGAGTACATACTCAAAACCAAATTTGAAAATTATGGAAAGGTAACAACTGTATTCATCAATGGTTGATTCTTTGGTACATTGACCAAATCTTTAGCTATCGTTATTTCGAATCTTTATTTCTCTATTACGGGAGATAAAGAAAATATTGAATGTTTTAATTTTTTTAAGACATTAAAACTTTTTTCTTCTAAAATCTTAGAGGATCTTTACAAAGTTTTAGGGGGGAGTATAACATTAATCGTATGTATGGAAAAGTGTTAAGGGTCTATTTTGTTTGTTAGAGTTGTTATTGGGTAGGGTTCAAGGAACTGGAAAGGTTCTAGGATTTCATATTGTTGTCAAATCGTTGAGCTGACAGATCCTGTTTTCCTGATACCATATATGAAAACCTAGAGCACCGAACTAGAATTATTGAAGAATTTTTCTGATTTTCAAAGTGATAGGGGTCTATTACCGAGGCTTTGGAAAATACTTTTATGTCTTGTTGCTCAACAATCTGTTCCACTTAGGTAGTTACTGTGGTAAGGAAAAAGTAACAAAAACAAAAGCAAGCAGAAACTTGCCCTAGGTGGTTGGGCATGGGTGAATGTTTATAATTTGTCTTTATTTTGGTTAATGTTGGATCCCTAATGGTTTATCTTACGAACTTGCATGGGTTATGAAGTGTAAGAAAATAACTATAGAGCATCTTAGACTTTTCAAAGTATTAGTGAATAGGGATTGATTTGAGTTTTTTTATCTTAAATTGCTTTGAAAAGTAATTGAGTTGAAGTTTACACTTATGATTGGATTGTGATACCAATTTGCCAACTTTGTGAAAAATGACATGATATGAAACACTTCGATGCTACAGTTCATGGTTCTGTGATACGTTTTACCTGACATGATTACAGTAGTTATATCCTACTGAAATAGTGTAACAGCACATGTAATAGGTGTTAAAATTAAAGTGAACATTTTCTGCATGTTAGAAAACCTTTCAATTGATGGTTATGAAAGGCAGATTCAGAATCTTCAGCCTGCTCTCTAGTGTAGAGGTTACTTAAAAATGACGCCCTTAATGACGTTTCGCCTTTCAAATTTTAGCCATGGTAACTTATTCCATCTTCCATTTGAAGGAAGACTAGATCATTTCCAATTTCCATGCTTTGGTTGTAACATTAGTTTTATTATCCACATGGTAACATGTGGAGACTACCACAAAATGAGCTTAAACAGAGATTTCTGCAAATAATAAGTAATATAAAGCTGGCTAGCTCGAGGACAAATTGTTATGTTTATGATTCTTAAAAGAGTTTGGCTACTAGCTTCAGTTTTTCTTCTTTAAAATTTGGGCAGGGGTTGTACAACTATCACAATTTGAAGGATTTACTAGGTGATGGGATTTTCGCTGTTGATGGTGAGAAATGGCGGGAACAAAG